GTTCATAGGTCAATGCTTACCCACTGAGAAATCTCAAGAGTCCAGCTGAACAAACTCTTCAAAAGTCATACGAGTGAAAGGAATTAAATGGGCAGAAAAAAACATTACTGCATTACAAACTAGAGAGATAATGGAATTAAAAAATAAATATTTAGTTTGCTCTTTGAAAAGTCCAATAAAATAGAAAATTCTAGTAAAATGGGTAATGAAAAGGAAAAGGGGAAGTAATGCATCACATCCAGAATGAAAAAAATATAACCTCAAATATGAATATTATAAATTATAATGAAAAGTTTAATTTGCTATTAAAAATTAAAGTTAGCAAGTGTCCCAAAAATACATGGAAGTCAAAAGTAGATATTAGAATCAATAAATTACATCCATAAAGAATAATGTGTTCAGTAACTTAAAACTATTAGATTTAATAAATTAATCCAGTAAAGTTGCAGAATACAAAATGAATATACAGATATCTGTCACATTTCTTTTTTTAAATGTATTTTTAATGATTTCAGAGAGGAGAAGAGAGGGAGAAAGAGATAGAAACATCAATAATGAGAGAGAATCATTGATCAGCTGCCTACTGGGGATCAAGCCCACAACTGGACATGTGTCTTCAATCCACAATCCAATGCTTTATCCACTGAGCTAAACCAGGTAGGGCTTTGTTACATTTCTATATACTAATAATAACAATCAGAAAGACAAATTAAGAAAACAGTCCCATTTACAATTATATCAAAAAGAGTATAATACCTAGGAATATATTTAACTGCGGAGATGGAAGATCAATATTCTGAAAACTATTAGATGTTGAAGAAATAAGTTAAAGAGGACACAAATAAATCAAGTAATATACTGAGCTCATGGATTGGAAGGATTTATATTGTTAAAATGTCCATACTACACAAAGCAATCTACTGTTTCAATGCAATTCCTATCAAAGTACACTTAGCTATTGCCACAATGTTACATAAAAACAACCTCAAATCTCAAACACAAATATTTATTTGTCCTGGTCATGGTACAGGTGAGATATGAGGTACAGGTGAGAATGATCTCATCTGGTGTTGATTGCATATGCATTCAAGTTGCAGATCAGGTTAGTTCCACGGGTCTCATTTTAGACCCTAGGTTAATATAACAACAGCTACCTAAGGCATGTTCTTTTCAGAGTAGAATCACCAAGAGTTTTTTGTCTCTCCATGTTGTTCTTTGAATGCCTTATGTATTCCTTCATCTCTTCTTAGAACCTTACTTTGGTTTTGAAGGTTCAAATTAATCACACTTCTCTCAGTCTTTGAGTCAAGAATTAGTCCTGGTGGGACTTCAATACAGTATGAGCTCTGTTATTGGAGAGAAGATGCCTTTGACCCAAGACTACAGTGGTCTTTCTCTCCTCCTGATTTGAACTCACCTTCCTAGTCATAGATACAACAACTAGAGAGTACCTGCCAGTCTGTTGCTTTTACTGCAAAAGAAGAAGAAAATCTAGTCATATTAGTTCAGGGGAGAAAAAGTGGAGGGTGAGAAAAGTGATCAAGGTGAGGAAATAGTACTTGTGGAGGCCTTGAGGCAGGAAGTAGAGTCATTAGTAACGAGCAGCCACCACAGAAGTCTTCAGGCATTTGAAGGAGTCACTATCCAATGAAGTCGTTGCTGAAGATGAAAGCCAGCAGGTTAGCCTGAAGAAAATCAGATCAAGAGGGAAACTGAGAGTTGACCATAAACATAAAAGAGAAAAGGACTGAACTCCTCTCAATAAATGATTATTGAGTGCTGTCTCGTACCCAACATACTGCTCTGTAGTTAGGGGGTTTAGCGATTAACAAAATAGCCATCTCCCGGTCCATGTGGAACTTATATTGTTTATCGGATGGGATAGAAACAATAAGCTAAATAATTAAAAATATATACTAGTACTGTTTGAAGCCCAGTGTACAAATTTGTTCACCTTGAAAGGAACTGTGGGACATGAGGCTGTGGTGGGCACAGGGGCAGGTCTTGATCTATCCTCCACACCCCCACCCGGCCCCTCCTACCACAGCTTCCCCACTTCAGCTGCTGCCGCTGGCCCTGTTTGCACCTGCTGAGCAGCATGTGCAAGCAGGGACAGCACCAGCAGCAGGTGTAAGTGGTGGCTCCGGCGCCAACTGCAGATGCGAATAGTGGCTGCTGGCCCTGATCGTGCCTCAGGAGCAGGAGGAGGTGGAGAGCCCTGAGTTGTGATTAGAGCCAGCAGCCACTGAACACACCTGCTGAAGGCACCGAGAGAATGGGACTGGTGCTGGGAGCTGACAGCAGGTGCGAGCAGGACCGGCTCTGACAGCAGGTGTGAGTGTCGGGCAGGACCATGGCATGTGGAGCAAAGAATTTTCAGTAACCAGCATAGGCTTGCCCCGATGATAGCGACCGGTGCCCCGCCTTGGTCTGGTGTCCCTGCTCACCTGCTCCACCATCCGCAGTGGCCAATACTCACCATGTTCTGCACTCATCCCCTGGTGGTCAGTGCAACATCATAGTAATTGGTTGCTTGGGTGTTCTGCCTTTTGGTCTGTTTGCATGTTAGGATTTTATATATGTAGATGGTAGAAGGTAATAAGTGATAAAGAGAAACAGCAAGAAGAGGAAGATTTGGGTGTGTTGGGAGGGTAGGATACAATATCAAAAAGGAGGGCCAGGGTGTTTGATATTTGAGTAAAGAACTGGAGGGGGCGAGGCCAAGGGTAGGAGCATTCTGCAGAGGTACAGAACCAGCAAGTGCAAACACTTGAGGGGGTTGTTGCTGGGGGATGAGGGATGAGGAATAGTAAGAAGGCCAGTGTGTGGGAGAAGTAGGAGATGAGGCTAGGCAGGTAATGAGGCAAGTGGTGAGAGGAGAGGAAGAGCAGATCAGCTGGAACCTTGTGAGCCATTGCAGTGCTCTAGGTATTTACTCTGTGAGATGCAGTACTTTGTGATAAGGGAGATGTGGTCAGATCTACCTTTTAAGCAAAAGTTGGGCTATAGTGTGGACTACAGACTGAATGGGAGCAAGGGTCATCATTCTATGTGAACCTGAGGAAGTAACTAGAGTTAATGGATGAAAGGAGTTGATTTCTCTATGTCAATGACCTCAATTAATTGACTACCCATCAGTGATACTGGCTCAGAGTTATACTCAGCAGTGTGTCACCAGCAGTTTCAGCAGATGCCAGGGATGTTGCCACTGGGAAATTTCTACTTAAATAAGGCATTACACTGAGTGGCCAGATTATTATTTATTATGATCTCTGAATGCATAATAATCTGGACACTCAGTGTATATCCCATATAATAAAAGGCTAATATGCAAATTGTCCCCTTGACCAGGAGTTTGACCAGCAGGCAGACTGGCCAACCGTCCATGTTTCCTCCCCCTGGCCTGGCTGGCCAGACCCCACCCATGCACGAATTCATGCACCAGAACTCTAATATATATGTGTGTGTGTGTGTGTGTGTGTGTGTGTGTGTGTGTGTGTGTGTGTGTGTGTCACTCACTTAGTGGTCAGATTATTGTGTTCAGAGATCACTATAATCTGCCCACTCAGTGTATACCCTATGACATCCCAGATTCTCCAATGAGAAGTGTCTGATTTCATAGGATGTGTCACTTCAGTCTCCCCCAGGTTAGACTATAGCTCCGTGAATGGAAGGGCTTTGTCTGTTCTGTTAATTGCTCTATTCCTGGTGCTTTGAATAGTGTCAAGAATATAGCAGATACTCAATTAGTATTTTTATTAAATGTATGAGTTAAACTTACTGCAGGACCTTAAGCAATATACTTTTCTTCTCTGCGTTGATGGCCTCCAATGACCTTTCTAGGTCTTCCAGGCTATGTTCCCATTTTCTAACTCCAAGACATTGTTTCTAAAAGGGTTTGCAGCCTATGGGACATTTGGGAAGGGGGGTTCTTATGGTGCGGGGGAAGGCAGGGATGGGTAAGGGCAAACCTGATTTAAGCAGAAGTGAAGAGATATGTCCTTTGGAGCTGGGACCAGGGCACTCTGAAAATCAATGTGAATTGTCTCTTTGAGATGCACAGGGTTCTAATTCCAACAAGGGATATTTTACTAAAACCTGAGGGTACAGGATGCTGAGGACCCATCCCAAGCATGTCGCCTTTACCTCCTTTGAGTCAGCCTTGTCAAAAATTTGTTTATTGTTTATAGTCCCTGAGGCTCTCCTCTTGAGGGGAATGGGGGGGTAATGCAGCATCAATTAAGTATTTTTGGACGCCTTTTAAGTATTTTTTTTATGAAGTTCACAAGTGATTATATTTCTTTAAAGAAAAAGTTTCATTGAAGCTCAGCATTACTGTGTGTCCCAGACACCCGAGGTGCAGTGATTTCATGCCCCCCACCCCGAGTTTTGCAGAATTGCCAACATCAACATGTTGGCTGACTTGCCCAGATTTGTTACCAAATAAGCCAATGATATATGCTGTCATATTTACTGAATATAGAATAAAATATAAAAGACACCAGGTAATTTTCAATAGCTTTATTTTGCAGTTAAATTTAATTTATTTTGAAAAAGACAGAGTCTCTTCCATGTTCAGTAGCATGCACATGTGTGTTTAGTATTTCTCCAATTGTTTTGATGATAAATTTAAAGAAGTGTGTAAGGTTCAGCTTCCATCATCTAGGAGAAAAAAAACACACACACAAAAGTTAGAATTTAGCTACTTATTGATTATGAGGTTATTAACATCTATATTTCCTGACAGATGATCTAAGTGTCATAGGGGAACACTGGACAAAAAAAAAAGAAAAAAAAAGATAAAACACAGAAATAAACCCCAAATCTAAGGATTTCATCGGTGGGGACTCTCTGTCCTTCAGATATTTTCCCTTGTTGATTTTTTACTCATGAGGGCCCAAGGAGTGTGGACTGCACCCTTGCAATATCCAGTCATCCACCCTCCCATCTAAAAGTACAAGAATAATCACCTTCTTCCTGGGATCCCTTCCTTTAGGGCCTTAGCCATGGTGGAACAGGGTAGGGGGCAGCAGCCTGTTCCAGCCACCAGTTTTGGACTTGTTCAGCATCACAGCGAGCTTATTGGTCAAGCAGGTGCCTGTGTTGCAGCCTTTCTTAAGGGTCGCAGCGCTGTTTTACATGATGGAGAAAAACAGAAGACCTGTCAGTAAGAGACTGGTGGGGGGGCAGAGCCTTCTCATAGGACAGTCATTACAATGAACCTTAAGGGTTGCTCTTACGGGCCACAATTATCACAGCAGATAATCATTGGCCTTTTGGGGAATTTTCATGATAACTCCCAATAGAGAGTTTATAGTACAGATTTCTGGAGGTATTTTTCTTCTCCTTAGCACAGCTGTTTTTACTGGGCAGGTGTGGAGCCTTACCTGGAATCCATTTCTGCCTGCTCCTGATCACTGGCCATGTTCTTCAGAACCTCCCTCATCAGACTATCCAGGAATTCATCTCTCTTCATGACAGACCTGAGGAGAAATAGCAGCCCAATACAAGCTCTGAGTCCTTCCTGCCCCCTCCCAGGATAAGCATCCAGGCTTCCAGGTTCTGGGTTTCCTCTAAGGAAGGGGCCACCTCAACTCCCAGTGCACAGGGTTTGAATCATCAGGAGCCGGGCACTGGTGTGACCTCCAAGCAGTGTTGTGCTGAATCCAGATCATGTAGGTTTGTGAAAGATGAACTTTTTAGAAATGTTTGTGACCATGGTTTTGCATTTAGCCAATATTAAAAATTAAATGATAAAAACTTACAGGTAGTGCTAAAGCTAAAAATGGTTTCAGTTTATTAAATATAATTTGTACAAGAGTCAGAAAGATTAACAGCTCACATTGATTTAATAATTATGAATTTATTGGCCAAAAAGGTAAATTAGAATACAATTCATTTCTGAGATCATGGTTGAATTAGAAAAAGGAACATTTTGGTAAAAACCAACAAAATCTTTCTATGAGATTGAATGAATTTTTTGAAATTTATAATAAAGAACATCAGATATCATTGCAATGAAGAGTATCAGATATTCTTTATATCAGAAAAAAAAAAAAACAACGTATACTCCTCTTGGTGCACCCACTCTCCCAGCCCCCTCTCAGCACCCCACAATTCAGATTATAGAACTGTTTGATCCCAGGGGCACTGGAAGGAGAATGCACTACTTTCAGGGCTGTCTTACCTGAGTGGTGCTGCCTCGAGCATGTCCACCTGGTACAGGACCAAGATGCCAAGAGCCAGGAAGGGTAAGAACTTTCCAAAGCCCATGATGTCTCTCTGCAAAGGAACAATCATGTCAGCATCTACACCAGTTTGAAGTTTTATGATTTGAGCTGACATTTAGGGCTGTAAGGGGATGTTGAAGGAGAGTATAAGTAGAGAGGAAATATCTGCAATTGAAATCTCTGAGAAACAAGATCACGCTTTACTGCTTAGCTGGTCTACACTTCGGCAGAGTCCCGAGTTTAACAGAGAGTTAAATTGGGACGCTACAGGACTCAAACTGTGGGTTTAGCCTAGTTTTTCACCACTCATGCAGCCCCGGTTCTGAACCAATTTCCCTGGGACCCCTAAGCATGAACAAGGTTATTCCTGCATCCCGCTCTTCCTGAGTACAACTCCAGCGTCAGAGATGAGACTAAGCACGCTCCAACTGCAGTAACAAAGCTAGACCAGAGCCGCATCTGCCCGGGAAGAGTGGAGCACAGAGTCCCTGGACTCAACATTACCTGGGAAATGAGTCTTGGATGAATCAAAGACTAACAGAAATTGTGTGATAAAAAAGACCCAGACAGAAGTGGAGAGAGACTTTGAGACTGGCAGGGAATTGATCAAGAGGCACAGTAATGCAGAGAGACCAAAAGGGAGAGAGGAAGAGATAGAATCATACAGGGACTCACCTGTCAGCAGGTGGCGGTGGCGGCGGGCAGCGGCAGCAGCAGTGGACGAGTGGAGGTGTTCCTGTGGAAGTGGCAGTGACACTCCCACCTGGGAAGTCTCTCCATTTCTCCCAACAGCAGCAGCTCCTTTTATTCCCGCTCTGGGTCTGGGGAGGGGGAATCCAGGAGCACTGGGCAACCAATGGGAAGAAGGATTGTGTCACCCACTTGCTTCCGGAACCTGTAGCATCCAACAGGATCATCCCGCTTGTATTTGCATTGAGGTCACTGATGGAAAGGAGAAGGGGGAGTGATGGGCACCAGAAAACACCCACGAACCGGGGGACAGTTTGACGTCAATTGTAAATTTCACCTGTTCGGTTCCATCCGGTTTTGAATGTGCATCCCACTCCAGCCCCAGCGGAGCGATCTTGTAGGGCAGCATCCAGGATCACAGGGACTTTGCCTCCCCCCAAATCGGACTTTCAACCCTCATCCAAGTGAGGGTTTTAGGGTTAATGCTTTAGAGGGTTGGTTCTGGGTCCTAGCGAGGTGTTTAATCCTGCAGCTGGAATCACTTGCAAGGAAGGCAGCTTGTGGCAGCAAGAACTTTGTCAGACTGAATTCAATTCCGACTAAGCAAATTCCTGGCGGTAAGACTAAGGACAAGTGAGTTCCTCAATACAATCATCTTTAAAATGGGAATCCAGTGCCCAAAAGGAATGAGGTTATTAGTAATTTGCCTCACCCTTTTCCCAGCTAGGTATTGATCTGGAAAAGAGTGTGGCTCACATCTAGGATTCCTTAGCATGTTAATTGCCCACCTACTGATCAGAAGTACTTATTTCCCCTGGGTGATTCTTCAGGTGCATAGAAGGGGACCAATGTCCTTCTCAGCTAGAGCAGGGAGGTGCTGAGCACACGTGCTTCCCTGGCTTCCAAGCAGCCCCAGCAATCTCCTCCTCTACTCACCATCCATCACCTTTGCTCATCTGCCTGTTAGAACCATTTGCCCAGCTGCCACTGTTTCCGGAAGCTGTTTGCCAAGGTGCCTCATTGGCGTGCAGTTCCGGACCTGCTCCCGTATGCAGACCCTTGCACATACATTACAACTACACACACATTCATGACAGGCGCATACATGTGAAAGTGCGCGCGCATTCGGGACTTGCACGCGCATGCCAAACGTAAACGCCTATTCCCTGCACTTCAGTTCTCCAATAGAGAGCAAGGCAGGCTTGACGGGAATCCTAGCAGAGGCAGTTGCTCACTGTCACTTACAGTCGCACTCTTCCCCACCCACACACCCATTACTCTCTTCAAACATAAGCCCACTCCCCCAAACAATGGCTCTGGCTAAAAGACACTGGGACAGCACCCGGGGCCATAGGAATCCTGCCCAAACCTGCCTCCCAGGGTCTCCCGTGCTCACATCCACATACCGGCTTGCCGGCAGCCTGTGCACACCATTACTACCTGCATCGCAAGACTAAGCATCTCCAAAACACCTAGACCTCCTCACACTGTTTACAGCTGGTTTCAGGACTGCTTCCCCTGAGCTTTATTTGCCACAAGTCCACCTGGAAGGTCCCGCTCTCTCCTGAGTTGCTGCTCTCAGCGGGTAAAATGCAGAGAGAAACTTCTCACTGTCCCCAAGACCTCCAGGAACTTCTCCCCGTCTCCCGGATCCCCAGGTCTGAGCGAGGCACGCGATGCGCTAGGAGGAGTGTCCCAATGCGGCAAACGCGGCAAATTTGGCAAAAATGCTGCGGCTGTTGGGGGACAGGCAAGGATACCTGTCTAGTAGTAGGTTTCCAGACAGAGGGAATTAGCCCTACCTGCGCTGTGTGTTTGTGAGCGACCGAAGCCGCAGCTCTTCACGCTAGCCTGCACTCCCCAGAATTCGCAGCATTTCCTGTGACACACCCGCCCTGCTCCGCAGCTCTCACCCTCCAGGTCCGTGGCCGCCTTGCTCGGGACACCCAACTTCCAAAATGCCCTTTTTCTTCTCTTTAAAATATATTTTATTGATTTTTTTACTGAGAGGTAGCGAGAGGGATAGAGAGTTAGAAACATCGATCAGCTGTCTCTTGCACTCTCCTCACTGGGGATGTGCCCGCAACCGAGGTGCATGTCCCTGACCGGAATCGAACCTGGGACCTTTCAGTCCGCAGGCCGACGCGCTATCCACTGAGCCAAACTGGTCTCAGAGATGCCCTTTTCCAACTTTCCTCCTCCTTACCTGATGGGGTGTCCCTGCCACAGGGAATACACGGGCGAGGGGAGTGCTGCCCTGGCCGGGCTGCAGGGAGCCAGCTATGGAAGAACTGTTCCCTAAAGTCCAGGTGCGCCCTTGGGTACAGGGCAGGGGGAAAGAGTGCACAAAGGAGAGGCAGGGATCGGTGAGTGGGATCCTGGTCTCAGTCTGTCCTGGAGCTCAGATGCAGATAATCTGAGACCCAGCCTGTGCGTTGATGGTCAGCAGTTCGAGTCCCAAGCCCCGGTGCGGCTTTCAGTGCAGAGTTGCACGGACAGATTGGCAAAGGCGGCAAGGGAACACCATTTTGCTAGAAACTGAGCTCTGCACAGTTGTAGGTGAGTGTTTGCTCTCAGGTGCCCAGTGCTTTGGGGAAAACGCCCTCCATTCCAAGACCTGACGTTCTAACATATGAAGCTACTGAAATCATTTGTGAGTGCGTCTCCTCTCCTGGTTGCAATTTCCCAAGGAGCTTTCACCTGCGCGATTGGGAGTGCCAAAGGGTGAAAAACAGCACTGACTTCTCTGCAAGCCAATGTCATGGCCAGGCCGCGTCCTCAGAACGCCCACCCCTGGCGGCCAGGCCAGGTGTGCCTTCATAGTCAAAGCCAACAGTCCCCTCCCACCCTCACATCTTAGGTGCTTACAAACCATGACTGGGGAGTGGACCATATGAATCAGGGTCTGCACTCAGAAGGTGTTGTTACTATTTTTTAATCGTCACCGGAGGATATTTTTCCATTGATTTTTAGAGAGAATGGAAGAGAGAGGGAAAGACAGAGGAAAACATCGCTGTGAGAGAAACAAGTCAATTAGTTGTTCCTGTGTGTTCCTGAACCAGGGCCAGGGACAAGGGAGGAGCCTGCAACCCATGTATATGCGCTTGACTAGAATTGAACCCCAGACCTTTCAATCCACTGGGCTGTGCTCTATCCACTGAGCCAAACAGGATAGGGTTATTTAAAAAAAAAAATTTTTTTTTATTAATTTGAGATTGAAGGGAGAGATAGAAACATCAATGATGAGAGAGTATCATTGATAACCTAAGTAGAAAGCTGCATGTGGCTTGTGAGCCGCAGTTTGCCGACCATCAGGAAGACAGGCAGGGAAACAGTTGGGAACTAGCAGTCCTAGATTGTGAGAGGAATATCCGACTGCCCATTTAGGCTCCATCCTGATAGGGCAGTCGGACATCCTTTGAGGGGTCCCAGATTGGAAAGGGTGCAGGCTGGGCTGAGGGATACTCCCTCCCCATGCACAAATTTCATGCACCAGTCCTCTAGTTTAGTAATAATATTCTAAATTCATTTAAATATATGCACCAACATTTATACAATTGCACCAATTGTGAATAAAAAGGGGGATATGTAATAAATATGACAAGCTGGGATGAGGTGGGAGAGCACATGGCAGGCCTGACAGACTCAGAGATTGAAAGTAACCACATAAGATGGTCTGATTACAAATTCCTAAGAGGGCAGGTTATAGCCCATAGTCACATCCCAGGCCTATAGCTTCCTTAGCAAAGATCCATCTTTTTTTCTTCTTTTTTCTTTTTCTTTTTAAAGAGAGAGACATCTATCGGTTGCCTCCAGTACTCGTACTCCAACAGGTGATCAAACCCATAACTCACGTATGTGTCCTGACCAGGAATCAACACGTGACTTTCAGCGTATGGTACTATGCTCCAACCAACTGATCCACACTTTCCAGGGCAGCAAAGATAGATCTTTACTTGTAAGTGAGCCCTGTCTGTTGTGGAAGAATGCAAGGGAAGACAATCGGCCAGCACTCAGAGGGAGGAAAGTTTAACCTTTACTCCGAACATCTGTGGACCAGGGGAATTCCTGATCCAAAGCCTGAACTGCTCTCATGGGGAGGCTCTGACTTATACATCTCCTCCTGTTGTGCGCCCTGAGGGTCCCCACAGTTCCGCTCAAGTCAGCTGTGGTGCAGCCCTGGGGTGAGGCCCAGCTCCGCCCAAGTCAGTCAGAGTGGGGAAGTAAGACTCCAGTTTTAACCAGACACTGAAGTAGGTTGCAAACCCCTCCTCCCCCCGCCTTTATTTTCCTTTTCTTGTCCATTGTTCTTATGCACCTAAGTTAACTAACTTTGAAATGTTCTTACTTTAA